GCTGCCTACCAAGGCTGTCACTTCATAGGCATGCCTGAATGTGAGGTAAAGTACTCAGCCTCAGTTCTTTGAAAGTCAGGCCTTTTCTCTTGTGCTCTGTCCCTTTGTGGATTTGAATATATGTTGTGCCTTCACTGTGAATGTATGGGCTCACCGAAGAAGCTGCTTGGCTTTTTGACTCCCATTGGAGAAGCTTAGACTTGAGAGACAGAGGAGGCATTAAGTATGAGTGAGGTCGTGTTCCAAGTTCAGGAGTCCTGGTTCCAGGAAGTGCTCAGGATTCCCTGGGGGCAGAAATGTTGAAGCATCTCAACAGGCAGTTTCTGCACATTCACCCACAAACAGAGCAGCTTCGTATTTATTCTATATATTGGGTTTTTAAGAAATTTTTCATTTAATAAAGAGTTCAGTTAAAAAAGAAGAAAACGACTGGTCTGGTTCAACCTCTCATCTCATGTGGCAATTTCTATCATAGGTGGTTATCCATATTGTGGGCAGAGAGGGGGATGATAAAAGCTTGGTGGGAACCCTGTCAGAAGTAACTGGGGACATCATGAAATATTCTGCAAGACAGACTTTCTGGCACCTTCATGATGAAACCTCCTCTCTCCTTCCCAGGTGCTTCTGGCCCAGTGTGTAGTCTATTTTGCCAGAGCCCCAAAGTCTATTGAGGTGTACAGCGCATACAACAACGTCAAAGCATGCCTGCGAAACCAGCAGGGGCCTCTGCCCCCCGTCCCGCTGCACCTGCGGAACGCGCCCACCAAGCTGATGAAGGATCTGGGCTACGGCAAGTGCTACAAGTACAACCCCCTGTACAGCGAGCCCGTGGAGCAGGAGTACCTGCCCGAAGAGTTGAGAGGAGTGGATTTCTTTAAGCAGAGGCGATGCTGACTCCGAGGCTGTGACATCAGAAGGATGTTCTTCTTCTTAGGGAGGGCCAGAAAGAGTGACTGAGCGTGAAGGTGGTTGCCTGGTGGAAGCTAAAGCAGACCAACATTTTGTGCCAGGAATGTGAGTCCTCAGGTGGAGGCACAGTCACTTCAACTGAATGTGTCGCGATGAAATAGTGTGCATTTGCACTCTGCAGTGGTTATGTTTATGAAAATAACCTGGCAGCTTTGTGCAATGAATTAATGTTATAAGGAGTTATCTATTTTGTCATAGTATTTAAGTCATAATGTCATTTCAGAATTCAGTTCTGTAGGATTTTTTTTTTCTTTAAAAAATGTATACTCTGGGTAGTTTCAATTGGTAAAAAAATGTAATTGTGATTTAATACTGCATAGTGTTTTGGGTATTTTTTTTATATGCAAAGGTCTTATGAACCAATAAAACTATTTCAAAGTACTCCAGTTTTTCATATTTTTCCCTACTGGGATCCTAGGCACTAACATCTGTCACTGTCATGTTTTGGTGGGTAATTAACTGTGAAGGAAAAACTGTAGTAGAAAATTGGGAAGCTTAGTGCCCAATAAATCACTGCATCCTTTTGGGAATTAATATTTTAAAGAGATACATGAAGTTTTAAGTGGCTTAAAGAAGAGTTCTTTTCCCTCCTTTTCCTCGAGCTCTTCTTGCAGCTCCATGTTTATAAATGATACGTTTGTGTTTTTCACACACACGCGCATGTTTGTATCTACTGCTCATACTTTTCAGACTCCTTAATAGCCAGACTGTCTGTGGAATGCTGCACAGCTGGTGTCCTGGCACTTCCTCTGCCTCTGTCCTGTTTTATATATACTATATCCTGCCCTCTTGGGTTTATTCCGTTATTTCTGTGTGATGCATCCTCTCCTGGTTTTGTCAGGCAGGAGGGATAGTGTGATTGCACTACCCAAGCCTGGCGTGGGGCCCTCCCCTCTTGTCCGGACTGGCTGCACTTCAGTGTGCAGTTGTCATCCTAGAGATTGTCTTTGTTTCATACCTTCACCACATCATCTCACTACAGGGTACTGGACTTCCCCTCTCTCGGCTTAGTGGGTGCATATCGTTCAGTAGCTTTATGGAGAAAGGATGCATAAGAAGCAAAATATTTTTAGGCCTTAAAAATCTGAAAGTGCTTTCATTCTACCTTCAGACTTGTCTGATACTTTAGAAATAAATTT